AAGGACGGACGAACAGACTGATGGGAATGATTGCACCAGCCTCGCCACACCACCGAAAGAACATGCATATTTTGAGCAGGACAATAATGAACTGTACAGCAACATCAAGAGTAGTAACGTGCGAATTAGGATCCACTGCATAATAACATGTATCAGTACGTGCCATTCGATACGTTATTCTGCAGAGGAGGAGAATATTAACTTCACACACTCGAATAATGAGGCTGCCAAACAGTAGACAGTGGATGCCAAACGTGAGCAAATTAAAGAAATGACGTTGTCTTGAGGCAAAGTAAGAGCTATTTCTCTTAGACACGAGGGATTCCTTTATAGAGGATTTTCTAAGAGAAATTTGCTCGCATTCATTTTAGACATGGGGTAAACCACGAAATTCCCGATTGAACGATATGTCAGTAGAAATGCAATGTTATGCTCTTCCCAACGGTGGACTTTAGTGCATCACTTGATTTACAAAAGTAGGAAAACTCAGGAAAATTCTTTGTAATCGGCCTGGAAATGTAATTTGTAATCAGTCTGGGAATTGAACGAAGAACGAACGAACTATCGGTTTTCAATGGTCTTCTCCATTCGCCCATTCGAGAGTATGATTATCTTAATAATTTAATTATTTTGGAGATGGGAAGTATGTAATTAATCTTTAAAATGAACTTAGAACAACGAAGAATTTTAATTCATTGGGCTAGCCCTTTTAAATTTCTCTTCCATATTTTTTTCCTCAGTTTATACGCATATATATTTACGTGATTCCATAGTTTTTACATATATGTATTTTATAAATGAAAACACTAAAGTTTTTCCATTCCCTTCTAAAGAGGCTAAATACCACAATTAATTTCTTTTCTTCTTTAAAAAGGGCCCACCAGCGGCCGAGCGGTAATCTCGCTGAACACTGGTAGTTCGGTCTGAGGTTCGAATCCCGCGAACGGGGCTGGCTGCATGGGCGTTTTCGTGGTTTTCCTCATGTGTAACGTGTATACGAGTCAGTTTCCCTTAGAAAGTCCTCCACGAAGGCACCCCTCCCCTTAGGCAGATAGCCCTCGAGGCTTTGCCATAATCACACACACACACACACTCTTCTTTAAAAAGTGATTTCTGGTTAAATTAGCACTACTTTTGATTAAAGCTGATGTTAATAGATAAGTATTGCTTCGTACTTATAATTCTCTCTTAATTGTAGTGTTTTAAAATTTCAGTTGTGGTTGTGTTTAAGAGTTTCAACTTAACTTCTAGGAAGAGAATATATTCCACGTTAACCTTAGAAAACAAACATCCGTAAATTATTTACTGGTTTATTGCGAAACTCTTGGGAGATCAACTTTACACTTTATAAGGCAAGCATTTTTTCTTTCCTGTTGTAGTATTTGTGTGCAGTTATACTGTGATATCGTTTTCATCACTATCTCAATTTTCATTTATCATTCAGACTCTAAAGGGGGAAAACAGGTTTTTTTTCTACTATAGGAAAAACAAGGGCCAAAAATTTTCTTTACGGAGATACATCGTCAATTTGATCTTTCCAACTCAAAATCATACTTTTTCCATCAACTCATTTCGACTCTGATAACATTATTCTTAAAATAAGAAATATAGTTTTAAGTTGGTTTATTTAATTATGGCAAAGCACTCGAAGGCTTAAGGGGAGGGATGCCTTCGTGGAGGAAGCAATAGAGTAAAATCTTTGGAATACATCAAAGGGAATATAATGCATATAAAAATGGCAATATTGCTTTACTGAAGAACTGTTATAAGAATGGTTGCCTGAAAAAACAATTATGTGCATGATTGTCAGAGTTGCACACATTTTGAAATTTTGGCGACTTCTGATAAGGTGGTTGCTATAAAACGGTACTAATAAAAGTAGTAAAGGAAAAAAGTGATATCAATTCTTTTACATTTAGTACATGGTTTTTATAAATGAATTTCAAAAACACAAGTTTCCGGAAAACAAAATATGAGCTATTGTATTTCATCTTTAATACGTTCAGTGCTCAAAAATAAATTTATCTCTAGATATAAAATCTAGTTATTTTAAACAATAGTAGTTAGAACAGTTCAAGAGATAGATTTAGTTTCTTTTAAAAAATTTAACTTAGTTTGAAAATAAGATGAAAAACTTCCTAAACTAAATGCGTTTGCCGCTAGGTTATCATTTATTGTTATTTCAGTCAGTCTGAAAAAATTATTAATAAAAATATATAAAAAAGTTGTGACATCAAACCTTTCTGCCTTACTTCTTGTATCCAGTTATTAACTAAAATCTTATAGAACTATTTCTTTCTAATTGCTTTGTTTAATTATTCTCAAATATTAAACCTATCACCAGAACTTTTAAACAGTTTGCTGAAATGGTTACATCGATTATGTAAACAAATACTATACTAACAAAATAGTAGAAAAAAAAAGAATAAGATTTTAAGAAATCTAATTATTTAATTAAATTCGAAAACAAAGTTTTAAAAATATATATAGCAATCATTCTTAAACGTTAACCAAAGTATTCGGTAAAATATATAACTGTGCGTAATACATAAACTAATTTACTAATTATAATGAATTTTAATTAGATATGTTATTAAACAAAACGAAGTCCAAAATTTTGAAAAACGTGTTTGCTGCTTTTAAATCGCTTAAATCATTGGTTCTCAACCTTTTGACTATCTCGTACCATCTAAACAACAACTGAAAATGTTTAGTAGCACCACTACATTTTACAATGATTATTTTTCAATTTCTCAATAGAATTATTAAAAAATATATTTTGCAATTTGCACAGTTTATTGGATATATTAAATGTGCACACATAAAAATATTAAATTAAAAATTGCTTACTATTTTAATTATCAAAATTTAAGTTATAATACCTTAATTCTAAAAATTAGCGTGAAATTTGGGTCTGTTTAAGAGAGATCTATTTCTTTATGTCTGGGCTTATTTCACTTAACTTTAGTCGTAAATTAGAATCCCCTTTTAATTTTGTTCTGTAATTCTTTTTCAAGTAAAACGTGGAAGAAAATAATTGTTCACACAAATAGGTTCTGCAGAAAGGCAAGAAAAATTCAATAGCTTTACGCGAAACGCCTTTAAATTATTTTTTGGGTTCAGCCAAAAGTTAACAAATGTGTTACTTTTGAAATCTTCAGTTAGATTTCGATGACAGGAAATTTCTATCACTTTTTCTTTTTCTTCACGAGATTTTTTAATTTAATAGTTAAAAATTCTTTGCTTCTTTGAGTACCACCGGTTAAGAATCACTGGCTTAGATGATTAAGCAATTGCTGATCAATTAAATTCAAAATAAAATCTGTTTTGCCGAACAACTGTAACCTGATATGTGATTATGTGCGAAGTGAGTGAAAGAAAAATTAAAGACTTTATGTTTCACGTACTGGCAATAGTTACTGAAGCGTGGTAATGATAGAAGCGTAAAATAACAGTCCAAAAGCTTTGGAAAGATGCTTACAAGGCGATTTTAACGTCAAAATATTGCGAAAGAGCATTACATTTTGCCAAAACTTTAAAGAAATACCTGACAGTGTTTAGACAGCACCAAATGACCTCTTTTCTAGTAATCCAGTGTTGTTGTTGAAGAGAGATCTCTCGAAATACATTTAAAGACTTATTTGCATGTTTGCCAAATTTACCCTTGTTTTAAGAGCAGCAGCATTTGAAATAGTTCTAGTAAAAACAAGTTTCCAAAAATGAGCGCAAATTTCCGCTTTTAGGAAGAAAAGTTTAGTTTCATATTTAATTTGGAACTTACGTTCGGTAGGCTTTTACGTGCATTCTAAAGAACAAGTATATTTCCCCAAAATATTCATTCACAAATACAATATAGCTTAACGGGCCTTAAAATTTTCTTTCATAATGAATGATTACCTTTGTTTACATAGTTTCTCTAGTGAAAAGAAAATAAACCGTGTTAAATGCTTAATGAACTAGCAAATATGGAATTTAAAACTTACAAGTAGTGCATATTCGTGTAATAAGAGCTATCCGCTTTTGTTAGATTTGTTTTCCTTGTAATCTCTTGAAGGATAAACGTAGTATATATGGTTGGCGCTATGCCAAAGTAAGGAATCTTCAAAACTGATGTTACCAGAAACCGTGTCTACAGTCTGATACTTCGGAAAAAATGAAATTATGATCATTTTCATACGCTTTTCGGAAAACATGCGATCCTCTTTCTGTGCAGTATAAAATAACTCAAAAACCCTTAAATGCAATCAGATGAAAATAAACAAAAATTGCAAATTCATTTATTTAGCTTAGTACTAACGACATAAAGTTATGAATTTGTTTACGGCGACACAAGCATCAGATAATTTTTCATTATTGGTTTTCCTATTTTTTTACAAAGCGTTTTGGAGGGTAATAACAATAATTATCCTTTAACCTGTTCCTCCAATTTATAAAGGCACTGCAGGTTGGTTTGTGACAACATAATAATTTGGTTTAAATTTATAAAATGAGTTATGATATCAATTCACGAAATTTATTATAAGATTAGTAGCTTATTAACACTACGGAAGTTTCAACTGCTGCAGTAGCTAAAGATCGCCAATGATTATAACTATACTAAGAAAACGCATTTGCGAAGTGTAGCAATATAAAACACACAACCCAAAATTCCGAAAACGAAGCTATCTTTGGCATAGTTCTGAATTCTACCAATGCGGGCTGTACTACTACTAGTTATGTAAATGCAATAAACAAACTGTGTGGAAAAAGTTACTCCAGAATTATATATATGGCTATATTTTGAAATTTTCTAAAACTAGTTAGTCTGTATCATAAAAAGTGAAAGGATCGCTAGAATATGGTTGGCTTATACGATGTACTAAAGTTCTAGAAATATTGTTATACAGGAACATTTCAAACACGAAACTTTTAAAGTGAAATAAACGTAGCTTGATGTCAAGGAAATGCCAGAAATCAAAACAAATGGTTAGAGCTACAAGAAATTTAGAAAAGTCACTCACCACCCACTGTGTAACGTGATTCCACGATTTTTCTTAAGACTTTTCTGTTGGTAGCATTATATCCGAAACAGCTAATTCAGCCAGAACACTTTTATTAGTGACGGCTCAAAATATCCGATGCGGGGGTAAAGCAGAGTGGATTGAAGGAGAAAAAAATTGTCAAACGTAAGCTTCTTTGCTGAACCCAACGAGCATCTGCTCTGTTGTGGATAGAATCATCGCGCCTTGGCGCTCGAAATCGTTTCGAGATGACGTCATCCACGTGACGTATCGAAGTTTGTGGATTCCTGCTGCCACCTTGCTGAAATTTTGAGCTCTTCTCTGCCGAACATGCGTGCAACATGTGAGAGAGTAAATCTGTAGTTTAAAAAAAAAAAATAAATAAATAAAAACTTTTTTTTATATTTTTACGATGTTTAAAGGGTAAGAATATTCCATCACTGTAAAAATTAAATAACAAAATAAAATTAAAAAATACAGCTAAATTTAAAAGGAGGAAAAAGGCAATTATTTAATATCATTAATAGAAGCAAAATAAGTATAAATAAAACAGCAAAGAATCTCGAAAGTAATTGCGTTTAAGAGAGACTCATAAACTATTTCCTTTTTAAAATTCATATAGTTTCTTCTAACAATCATAAAAATATACGCAAGACTGATGATTCTCTTTAGAGCAGTTTATTATTCTTAATCCAAATACAAAAACGCAATTTTCTGCTGTAATTATTGCATCTAAAAATCATTTAAAAGATTATAAGCTTTCTATTAAGTCAATTAAGTTGTATTTTTAATCTGCTTTTATTTGTATTATTTTACTTATTCCTAAATATAGTAAAGTAATATCATGTAACATGAAGATAGAAGACAGAAATAGATAGATATTGAAATACTTTCTAAAATTGCAAAAGATAATATGTACTTTAAGTATTTATCAAATATATGAATTGTCACGTGCATATCTGTCAATGAAAATATTAACTATATGCTAAATTTTAATTTAGTTGTTCTTGCTTATTTAAATCAAAGTTACAAAATTCGATTTATTTGATTACAGCAAAGTATGGTAGGACTATTCGCATAAGAGGAGGGATGCCTTCGTGGAGGACTTTCTAAGGGAACTGTCTCCTATATACGCTACATACAGGAAAACGACGAAAATGCCCATGCAGTCAGCCCGTTCTCCGAGATTTGAAGCCCGAACTTAACTACCCGCGTCACAGCCACTTTACCGTTAGGCCACTGGTGGGCTTTAAAACAAGGCATGGCTAATTAATATAACAAAAGTTATTAAGTAGATTATAAAACAAACTTTAAATTTTGCTATTTTGCTTGAGAATACCTTTGGAACTACGACCAGATAAATAAATTAACTAAGAAAAGAAAATCTGAAAGGTTGCAGATTTTAAATAACGTGCAAAGGGGCGTTTTTTAACATTTTGTATGTTACCTTTATTTATTAAATATCATGTTCTTCGCACTTAAACCATAAAATTCAGTTCAACAGCAATATCACAAAATAATTTTACATTGAGCATATCTTTAGAATTTCCGATACACAGTCTCACACGCTGGAGATAAAAGTGTTTTTCTGTACAACGTTGCCATTGCTCGCTTTGAAATCCTTGAGTTTGTTAATAAAAAATTCGTTAAAGTTTTACAAAATATGAAATCAATAATAAAACAAATTCCAAATTTCAAATTTGGGCTTCATGCCCATATTCGCGGTAGGATTACGTCATTCAAAATCGGATGGCTCTAGGTACCGTTGTTTCATCACAATGCGAGAAACATGCATACATTTATGCAGATTCTTCATTATTTAATTTCTTCAAATATAATACAGGGCGATAATATTTGGTGGCAACAGTCTGAAAAGTGAAACGGACATTCAGAGCGATTCGACGCAAAATCGCAAAACGAAAACAATAGTCCCTCAGGGACAAAGCACCTTTGGACTAATAAAGTATTTAGCTTAATACAGTACTGAAATTTGACCGTTTGAAGGCATTACGATGTTTCTTAAATGGCAAATTTAAAACATATTCCTAAATCTTTTGCAAAATCAGAGATGCTCATTGATTAACCACATTGAGTCCCAAAGAATATTTATACTACCTGAGTTTAAGTTAATTCACTCATGATGTTGATACTATGTCCAACAAAGACAAGAAAATTCTGGAAGCAAGAAATCGTTGAAAATCAAAATTACTAGGTCGACTGTGTTGATCGTTACACTGCAAAAGTGCATGAGGAGAAATCTTTTTAATCATTTACATCCCCTCATTTATAGACTAACGGTGAGACTAGAAGATATTTAGTGAATTAAAAATTCGAAAACGATTTATCGTTCATTGTCATTAATTCTAACTTTAGCTGCCGCGAAGAAGATCTTTGTTCAAATACGAACTCATTCCTTTGGACTTATGCACTGACCTTTAAACCACAAAACATGTGACAGAAATGGCTTAATTTTTGTATAGTCAAGAATTCCTCAATTTCTCGCTTGGTAAAAAGTTCGATAATTGTTCATAAAAGCACTGAGCCATACACATTTGAAAAGGTTCTTCAGAGTGGTATTAAGTTTGGATGTTAGAGTTTACTTTTTAGTTATATTTTTCTTATAGAAATCAAGAATGTCATTTATCTTCTTATAAGTATCTTTGCCCTTATGTTCCATATGATATCAAGTTATACAACTTAAGGACAAAAATTCAAAATTTAAAATGCGATTTCTAGTGAATGCGTTTTTCTTTAGAAAGTCTTAGTCGTAAAAATTGTACATTAAATTTAGTAATTAGGGGACTTCCTGCATATGAAAATATGAGAAAAATCCAGCAACAGCAAATGGTATTAGAAATGACGTTATGCTGATGAGTTCTTTTCAGGCTGTGTTAAAAAATGTGACACGTGCATATAGAGTTGTTTGTGCCTGTTCCTTTGATAGAAGACGTAAATGAAAGGCATGTTTGGCGTCGCAAAATGACAACCAGCAGAAGAAATAGTTCCCGTTGGCAGTCATACAAAACAAGATCCCTTGCCAATTAAATTATCCAAAGCGGTGGTGGTTGTAGCAATTTTAGTTTTCTGAAGATTTTGTGAAAAGTTTGGCAGCAACAGCTAAGATGTATAGCACTTTTGCTCTTCTGAGCACTGTGTTAATAGGTTATTTTTTAATGTCCTATACAAAACTGCGTACAATTATCGTTATTAATTAAATCAGACCCACATACCTGTATCTTTTCAATGCATAATTCTGTGTTAATTAATGCCTACTATTTGCTATTAGACAGCTATTAATTAAATGCTTGAGATTTTGTAGCAAAATTTAAAAGTCAGAGGCGATATTCCATATTAATAGTACCTAGATTGGTGAATTTTATTTTTGTTTATATTTAGGTGCTTGAGTTCTTAAAGCAAACAGACTGGTGTTTGCACTTTTATGTGTATTAAATAGGTTAATAAAATATATATATATATTTCAGGAGCTTTTTCTGTTTTATAGCTACTGTCATAAGAAGATTTCTTTAAATTTTTATAGTAATTAAATTATTTTGATAATTACGAAAGTCCCATTCACATTTCTTTTCAAAACATAATTTTTTCCTCGAATGCATTTCTTACAATCGAAAATCAAACTTCAGATGCAATCGAAACTCAGAAATTTTCCAATAAACTTCCAGTAAAACTTTCCTATACGTTAAAATCGTTTCTTGTATGAAAAAGTTGGAACTTTTGTTTTTTAATTAAATATATATAAATTTGTTTATTAAACTGAACACTAAGCACATGATGGAATATATTTGATTGAGGCAAAATGCAACCTTGTTCAGTTTGGTTAGCTGAGTGAGGTAAAACACGTGACAGCAATCTATCAAAGAGTACGAGTGCCCTCATAGAGGATTTTTATAGGGCAACTGTTCCGAATTTACACCCTCAGAGAGGGAAGCTGTCAAACCACCTACGCATCCAACTCATTTGCTTTAATTTCCAACTGGTAACAAATTGCCGATTTTCAGTTGTTTTAACTATTCAGCATCTAATTGATGATATAAACTTGTAAGGATCGTAAGTTTTACTAACGTTTATTTTATTTTTCACTCTTTACAATAATTTCCGTACTTCGGAATACAGAGACCAACTATCAGGTTCAGTATCCCTCCTTACTTGCTTTGGGAACATTAAATGACCTGACTCGGAACAGGGAGCTTACTAAAGCTATGTTCAATAAATGTGGGAAGTAGACAATACACACAAGAAGGGTATACGAAACCCTTTATTTTTCTCTCTTTACAATGATTTCCGGACTTCGGAATACAGAGACCAACCACTTGTGGTCTGAACGTAAGAATATAAAAATATTAACTAAACTAACTTTGGATTAATAAACAAGTGCCTACTTGAAGATTGGCCGTATATTAACAGAAAGCCGTATGTAGTACAGAGAACTGCTAACACTACAACACGTTTAAAATTATCAAGAGGATTAAACCTCTGGCCTTGAAGGCAACCAGCAACCGAGTAAAACTGCTATGGCAAGCGGCCTGCTACTAATCACTCCTTCCTCTCTCTTGCTTGTCAAAAAGCCACAACTTAAGTACTTGGCGTTCGTAAGACAAATTTGCATAAATAAGTTAAAGCTTTTAATTCTAGCCGGAAGTAGAAAATAAGAAGTGATAGTAAAGATTTAAAATAAAATAAACGTTAGTAAAACTTAAGATCCTTACAACCTGAAGGTGTACAAAAGAAAGAGTTGTAAGGGACGGATAAGTATATAAAAACAAGAGTAAAATCTGTTACGTAAAACGAACGAAAAACATCTAATATGGAATATGGTCTCCTCTTTCAGCCAGGCAGTTGATGCAGCGTGACAGCACACTGGACAGGAGGCAGTTCAGGAGTCCCTATATCGACTGCCACCGGAACTCCTCAACACCGGGAATTTTCATCGGGATCAGCAATTTTCAACACCGATATGGTTCTCGAAAGAGATGGCAAAATGAAATTGTCTTCCCAAGAGCATTCTAGACATACTCTATAGAGTTTTAAGTTCAGAAGATTTTCCTGGTCCTCTGTAACCGCCATATATGTATATATGTAATCCCTACGGCGAATATCGTCACTTCCTCTGTAACCGTCGATCAGTTGAGTCCTGTGTAGATGAGCATTGCCGTC